GATGACGTCAGGTTGTAACCTTTCAACCATACTTTGCGTGATGTACGATGTCAGACACAGTAGATTCGTGGTAGTAGATCGACCAGAGGTGAAGCCATGTTGATCTTCACTTAGATACTGCTTGCAATGGGAGACCAGAGGATCTATGATGACTAACTCGAATAGCTTGGAAGTTGCACACAACGATGTAATTCCACGATAATTATCCACGTCCCGTTTAGTACTCTTTATATATACAGGGAACATATGCGCAAATGTCCAGTTTGATGGAAAGATGCCACACGAGATGAAGAATCGGAACAGATGTTGTAGCGGTGAAAGGTGCTTTTTTTTCAGAAAGACTGAAGGAACACCATCCGGACCAGGGTTGAAGGAAGACTTTCGTTTTAGTGCTGCAGTCGTTATCACTTCGACGTTGAAAACAATTCCACCCAGAGCTTGTCCGGAAAGTGAGACGTTGCTCGCTGCTATGGTCTCGTATTAGTTGGTTAAGCTCTCGTCAGAGAAGACACTTGCAAACTTGTTGGAGAACAAGCGGCAGAGCTCGAGTGGAGTGGACTTCGCCACTCCCGAATTATTCTGTTAAAAGATTTCAAGCAACTAACGTGGAAGATAAAGTTGATTATATTATAACATAATTTAAAAGTCCAGAGAAGATTCTCTGGCGTGCTTCAATATATGATATTCCTAAAAAATATGGTGTATAAAGGAATTTTGAGCTTCCCTGAATTTCAACAAGCTAGTCGCAGCAAGCTTGCAAATGCTCATTGCAGTTAAAATGCTATTATTCATAATTATGAAACTATGAGACATAATAATAATAATAATTTGATTTTAATCAAGATGCAAGAAGAGCACATACAAAACCCTGAAACTGATGTCATGGATCTTTAAAAGGTGTTTCTAGTCCAAGAACTTTTCTCTGGATTGAAATAGTTTATACCTAAGCCTTCTAAAAAAATGTTTCACTTCCCTCAATGATCAGTGATATCATTATACACTGGAGTCGGTTTTTACGCGGTTGATACGGGCCGCGTAAAAAAAACCGCGTAGATTCCGAAATCCGCGTAAAAAAACCGCGTAAATTCCAAAATACGCGTAAAAAACGTGTAAAAAAAAAACCACGTAAAAATCGACTACAGTGTATAACGATAAAACGCGCAAATTCCAAAATCCGCGTAAAAAACTGCGTAAATTCCGAAATCCGCGTAAAAAAACCACGTAAATTCCAAAATCCGCGTAAAAAACAGTGTAAAAAGCCGCGTAAAAAGCAACTCCAGTGTATAACGAGGAACCGCGCAAATTACGAAATCCGCGTAAATTCCGAAATCAAAAACCGCGTGAATTCCAAAATCCGCGTAAAAAACCACGAAAACCGCGTAAAAAGCGACTCCAATGTATAACGAAAAACCGCGCAAATTACGAAATCCGCGTAAATTCCGAAATCCGCGTAAAAAACCGCGTAAATTCTAAAATCCGCGTAAAAAAACCGCGTAAAACCCGGGTAAAAACCGCGTAAAAAGCGACTCCAGTGTATAACGGTAAACTGCGTAAATTCCGAAATCCACGTAAAAAAAACCACGTGAATTCCGAAATCAACGTACAAACCACGTAAATTCCAAAATCCGCGTAAAAAAATGCACGAAAATTCCGAAATAAACGTAAAAAACCGCGTAAAAAAACATGTAAAAAAAACGCTTAAAAAGCGACTCCAGTGTATAAAGATAAACCGCGTAAATTCCACAATCTGCGTATATTCCGAAATTCGCGTAAAAAAACGCGTGAATTCTAAAATCCGCGTAAATTCCGAAATCCGCGTAAAAAGCGACTCCAGTGTATAACGATAAACCACGTAAATTTTGAAATCCACGTAAAAAACCGCGTAAATTCCAAAACCGTGTAAAAAACCGCGTAAATTCCGAAATCTGCGTAAAAAAACCGCGTAAAAACCGTGTGAATAAACTGCGTTATAAGCGTCTCCAGTGTATAACGATAAACCACGTAAATTCCAAAATCCGCGTAAAACAAACCACGTAAATTCCAAAATCCGCGTGAAAAAAAAACCGTGTTAAAAAACCGCGTAAAAAGCGACTCCAGTGTATAACGATAAACCGCGTAAATTCCGAAATCCGCGTGAAAAACCACGTAAATTCCGAAATTCGCGTAAAAAAACCGCGTGAATTCCAAAATCCGCGTAAAAAACCGCGTAAATTCCAAAAACCACGTAAAAAACCGCGTAAATTCCAAAATCCACGTAAAAAGCGACTCCAGTGTATAACGATAAACCACGTACATTCCGAAATCCTCGTAAAAAAAACCGTGTAAAATATCGCGTAAATGCGACTCCAGTGTATAACGATAAACCGCGTAAATCCCGAAATCCGCGTAAATTCCAAAATCCGTGTAAAAACCGTGTAAAAAAAACGCGTAAAAAGCGACTCCAGTGTATAGCGATAAACGGCGTGAATTCCGAAATCCACGTAAAAAACCGCGTAAATTCCAAAATCCGCGTAAAAAGCGACTCCAGTGTATAACGATAAATCACATACATTCAGAAATCCGCGTAAAAAACCGTGTAAAAAATCGCGTAAATGCGACTCCAGTGTATAACGATAAACCGCGTAAATCCCGAAATCCGCGTAAAAAACCGCGTAAATTCCAAAACCGTGTAAAAAACCGCGTAAATACCGAAATCCGCGTAAAAACCGTGTAAACAGTGTATAACGATAAACCACGTAGATTCCGAAATCCGCGTAAAAAAACGCGTAAATTCCAAAATCCGCGTAAAACAAACCATGTTAATTCCTGACTGTGTAAAAAACCGCGTGAAAAGCGACTCCAGTGTAGTTTTAAATGCAGTTATGAATAAGGATTGAGAAATATTTCCTTGAATTTAAAGAAATTTTTCTGATGTTCTTTGAGTTTCCTGGTAGTCGACATTCTGCCCCTCCACAGAGTTCTTTTCAGAATTCCTCTAAAATAAGTTTAAGAATCTGTTTGGAATTCTATGCAGAACTGGCTATGACTGCCAGTCCGACAAAAATCATGGAATTGATCCTAAGATTTACTGTGATTTTCGAATGATTTTTCCAAGAATTCACTTAAGCTTCTTTCCATAATTCTATTTACAAATCACCTCAATTATCCTTAGTATTTTCATACATTTCACCTCAGCTTAGTCTTGAAATTCTGATCCGAATAATCCGTATTCTTCTCGATGTTATTCTTGGAATTCCCTTAAAAAATTTCTCAGAATTTTTTTGAAATTTTTGTAATTTATTAATTTATTGGATAAGACCCAATCGAATTAACTTCACTATACAATACATTTTAAAACTATAGTCAAAAGGAACAACACAATTAACACTTTGTCTTCCGCTATCCCATAAGTCTCCTCCATCAGAACGGGAGCCGCTTCCAGTGGTTTCATTGTATGGCAGTATCGCCAACGGGGGGCACAGCACTACCATTGCAGCAATGGACGCAAAACGTGGTCAGCGCTCACACACTCATCACGAAACGGTTGCTTTCCAAAGTCGACGACGCATCGACCGAAAGAACTGCTGATGAAGAACATTGAGGAGGACCACACAATGGTTGCTGCCGAGAAAACAGACGATCGCATGGCACACATCGAGAGTGGCCTGCTTCTGTTGACAACCGAGTGAACACTGCTAGGGGCAATTAGGTTCTGCAGCGTGACGTCACAAATGAACTCAGTGTTAATAGGCTGAACCTTTTTGACAGTTCAGTGGTACTGTTTACAAGCACTTAGTCGTTTTTTTTTTTTCGAAAAAACAAATTCTAAAATTTCCGAATTTTAACTTGAAAATTGTCGAGGAACAGCGCGGTGAAAGGATGTTGCTCGTGGACAATGCAGAAGTGTGGTTTAAATCTCACTGCAGTCTGAAAAATTATCGAGAAAATCTACCCAAGAAAAAAACGAGTAAGTCCACGTAAACAGTACCACTGAACTGTCATCAGATTGAGGTTAACTCCGACGGTGCAAAACCTAATGAACCAACATTGTACTGCAATTCGGTCATTTTGACTCATGCCTGTTTTTTCAAAAGGGCGTTTTCGATTTATTTATTTTTAAATCGTAGCACGAAAAAGGCTCATCTAATAGAAAGAACGTCTGAGACAAAGTTGTATTGGGTATTGAATTGTTTCAAGGTCGAGCATTTTTTTCTGAAGAAAGGATAAAGTTTATTTTTTTCCTGATACGTCATCGACATTCACGGACTTCCCGACATTTCTCTGGTCCACTGTCCTTCCCGGCTAAATTTCATCTGACTACTGATTACGGTAAATAAACGAAAATACTACGCACTTCCCTGAGCAATTAGTTTTAACCACCACAATCAATCTTAACTACATTGTTTTCATGGTCATAAAATCGAAATCCCCCAGCGACTCCCTGACTATTTCTCACCACGCATCCAATCACTCAAGGCCACCTCATCATCGGCAGCATATATCGCATGCCGTTCCGCTTCCCCACGTACTTTCACCATTCCACCCTCGTCTAAAAACAAACGCCAACCGGCAGCACCGTTATCAGTGCCAATGTCATTATCAAATCGTGGTGCGTTTATTGCACTCACCCATCATTACCCATCGAAGTGTGGCCGTCCTCTGCATCACTTCTACGTCTCGTGCTGCGGGAAACAATTAATCGAGCGTAGCTGATAGTGACGCCACCCTCACCGACCGACGACATCGACGCCAAGCAGAATTAACCCATCAGTCATTCACTCAGCGGAAAATGAATTCGTCAATCACTCCACCCTCGCTCGGAATGACTGGCTGTTCAATCACTTTATGATGTACTCTGCTTATCGCCGGGAACGGGTTCCGATAAGGACGCTATCAGCATGGCTTTCATGAGGAATTCAGCTTACGTAACAATCAACAATCGGGAATTTCACCATTTTCTAAGTCGATGCAACAATTTTTAGCTGCACAATGAAAAAGAAAAAGAAGAGCAAACCACTCACCTTTGGCAGCGAAGCCAGACACTGCTGTTTGACGTCCCACACGACCTTATCCGAGGGGAACTGCAAACACTTGTAGACGTTCAGCTCCGGGACGAAGATTCGCACCAGCAGCCAGCCGTCCCTCGGTTCGGGCGGCGGTTCGTCGTCGAAGGTCATCGTATCCATCGTCGTCACTGCCTAATTTTGACTAAATTTTATATTCCACAACCTTTTTCTGGTTTTCCACTTTCCTCTTCTTGCTTCTTCAGACTCGGAGATTTCGATTAATTCCAGAGCAAATCACACTTTTCACGCACCCACGCACTTACGGGGTGGATCACGGCGACCACGGCGACGGTGCGGGGGCGTGCCTATTCTGCGCACCGATTCTCGCCGGTTTATTCCATTGCCCGATTTCGGTCCGTCTGGTTTGGGAAAGGAGAAGGAGAGAAACGATTTGAATTAAACGAATGGGAATTAATGAGCGTGCGGCAGAGCGCACGAATTAGCATAAAATAAGGCAGCGAGTTTTGCAATGTTCTTCGTTCGTCGGTCTCAATTTAACGAATCACCGGGACTGGGGCGGGTTCGGATGCCTATTCAATTTGTTAAGGTAAATGGAAAACGATCAGACAGAAGTCGTTTCGCTTTGTGATTGAATCTGCTTGCGAGCATATGAATTGTGACTTTTTGTAAATCCCTGAGCTCGATCAAGTTAGATGAAATTTTGCAACATGGGAAATTAATCCTTATCTATTATTATTATCCTCATCGCTAAGTTCTCGGTTTCAGTCGGTTAAGGTGCAGCTAGAAAACAAGATCATGCTGGCGGCGATTGGATTCGATATCCGGATAGATTACGAAATTTTCTCTAGCACAGGTAGTTGAAAGCAGACGTTGGAGCTCTGAGTTGGAAATGTTTGACAGCCAAATAATAATAATAATAACAGGGCTGTTACAAGATCTTTAAAATTTGATCCACGAAATCCGCGATTCCTCAAAAGAAATTCGCGTCTTCAAATACTAATTCCCGACGGATAAAAAACTGTTTTCATTGCTTGTAAATACCATTTGTATTACTACTACATAGCATTTCAAGCTTATTGCTTACAGCATATTAGTTGTTTGCTTGCTCTTAACGTAGTGTTTTTAAGCGCTTGCACATTTTAATCGAGAGCTTTCTATGCCTGTGCAATCTTATGCCCAAGGAAGTCGAGAAATTTTCCAACCCAAAAAGTTAATAGACCGAACGGGAATCAAATCCAGATTCCTCCAGCATAGACTTGCTTCGTAGCAGCGCCTCTACTGACTGAGCTAAGGGAGCAGCATTTTGAAAAAAAAAAAGAACAATGCATCATATTCAGTTATTTATGTTCTTGGTAGTATAAATTCTGACTATTTAGTGTACATAATAAAACACAGTATGAGATTCAAATGAATAAAAGCAGCATAGCTTTTCTAAAACATTATTTGAAATGAAAATTAACTTGAAAATCATCATGAATCAAAAATAGGGCGCATAGAACGAATTAACATGCAATAAATTTAATTTGAGGTTTTCATTTTTAAGAAATTAGGAGTATTTCAAAAGAGTTTTGATGCAATTTTTATGGTAATTCTAACCAAAAATCAAAAAAAAAATTAAATTCTAAATTCCGAGGATAGCTCTAACAACATTTTGAGGAAAATTTCTAAGGAATTCTGAGGTCCAAGAATATTCCGGTGATATTTTTTAGAACATGTAAAAGACATTTCCAAAGAAATTATGAGAAGAATTAATAGAAATTCTGAGCAGGACTTGAAATAAACTCCTATGGGAATTTCAAGAGAATACTAAGGAGAACTTCAAGTGATTTTTTTTCTTCAGGGAACTGCTAGAATTACTAATCAAATTAGGAGCATTGCAGAGTGCATGCATTCAGAGAGTGTTCTGCAAAAGATTTTCAAGCGTATTGTGGAGGAAATTATGAAAGAATTCACATTCCACAATTGGACACAGAAAAAGGTCAAGATTCAAGGTTTGGGAAAAAATAAATCATAAGGTTTAGATTTTTGAAGATTTCATGCTTGGAAAATTATATGATCCTGGATTAAGAAAAAATCGTCATGTTTTATTTAAAATGAAATATTCCGGACATGGAGGGGGGATTAGGGCGCAGATTAGGCAACGTGAGAAGTATTCAAGTTCCAAACTAGCAACAATATTTGAAACGCCGAACTTTGAAATTTAAGGTTGAAATAAATCAAATGGCTGAGACTTCATTCTTCTAATTCTGGAATTTTGCAACTTTGAAAAGTTTCTAGATCTAATGGTGACCAGTTTTTTCCCTATGTTTACCCGTAAATTTGGAAATGTTTAACTTCCCTGAAGCGCAAAAAAACTTTGCAGGATTTTATTAGAATATTCTCAAACATTTCTTTTTGAATCTTTTCTGATCAGTTATGTCAGAATTCTTCTAAAATAAGATTGAGATTCTCTCTGAGAGTCCGTTAGAAAAAATATTTTTAACTGTCTAGAAATTCTCTGCAGCTTCATCCAAAGTATAAACCATGAAATTCGTCCTTAAATTTTCTTTAAATTTTACAGCTTTTCTAGGAATTGCTTCCCCCCGAAAGCTATACCCAAGATAGCAGCCCCATCACGGGGGATAGGAGACCATAAGGCCAACTACCTACTGTCTCCTAAACCTTCAAATTGTTACAGAAACCTATAGTGAAAGATTACGAACTGATTGTATGGAAACGACTTTTAGCGCTAAACAACGGACAAGAACTGGAACATGGAATGTACTGACTGACGCTAGCCCAACAGGGTAAACTGGCACAACTCGCCAGTGAGGCCCGCCGTATGAAGCTAGAAATCCTGGGACTTAGTGAAGTCCGCTGACCGAACTTTGGAGAACACAAGCTGCCTTCGGGTCAGGTACTTTTATATTCTCGTATGCGAGGTGAAAACGCTCCGCGACATCGTGGAGTTGGCTTTCTGCTTAGTGCCCAAGCACAGCCTGCGCTCATCAAGTGGGAACCTATCAATATGAGAATAATCGTTGCCACATTCAGAACACGGGTCCGCAACGTTACCATAATCCAATGTTATACGCCAATCGATGCAGCCGAATTGCAGGACAAAGAGAACTCTTACAGTCAACTGAATGCTGTCGTGGATAAGACTCTAAGAGGTGATATCAAGATCTACGCAGGCGACTTCAATGCGAAGATCGGCTCCGACAACTCGGACTATGAGCGCATTATGGGACGCCATGGTCTCGGAGATATGAGCGGGAACGGCAGCTGCTTGCAGAGTTTTGTGGCAACAACGACATGGTAATCGGGGGTTGGCTCTCCCTCCATCGCCCAGTGCATAAAGTCACATGGGTCTCCCATGATGGATATACAGAGAACCAAATCGACCACATCTGCATCAGCCGAAAATGGAGACGGAGCCTTCTTGATGTTCGGAATAAACGCTGACATCGCGTCTGACCAACATCTCCTGGTCGGTAAGATCCGCTTACGCATTGCACGGGTTCAACGGCGGGAGGAGAGACTCGGGCGGCGATTAAACACACGCCGACTGGAAGATCCAGCAGTGAAGAGATCGTTCGTCGAATAACTCGAGGCTCGCGCAGCTAATATTCCGGAAGGTGGCAGCGTAGAAGAACAGTGAACGAGCATCAAGAAGGAGTGGATCACCGATGAAACCTGGAGGAAGATCGAGGAGCGGAGAGAAGCAAAAGCCGCGATAGAGAGAGCAACCCAAGTAACATTGCAAGTTTTATAGTGGTTTTATAGCATTCTACAAATCTGAATCGTGGTCTGCAGAACCCTCATAAAACCACAATTGTTACTTGGGAAGAACGCGAGGAGCCAAGAACGAGGCCCGTCAGCGGTATTCGGCTCTAGAGAGGGAAGTTAATCGCTCCTGTATACGGGACAAGCGAGCATGGGTGAACTCCCTGGCTGATGAAGAGGAGAAAGCCGCAGCAACTGGCGATATCCGCCTCCTCTATGATGTTTCACGACGCCTGAGCGGGACAATGATGAACCCAAGGATGCCTGTGAAAGACGCGACTGGACAGTTGCTCACCGACCCCACTGACCAGTTGAAACGTTGGTTTGAGCACTTTGAACAACTTCTCGAAGTTTCAACCAACCATCAACATCTCGGCATGATCCGCCAAGGGTGAGGCGCGTTACTCGCGTCAACACTGAAGCTCCATCATTGCAGGAGATAGAAGCAGCCATCCGAAGTATGAAGTCCAACAAAGCCCCGGGGGTCGATCGCATATCAGCAGAGATGCTCAAAGCTGACCCCATGCTATCCTCACAAATGTTGCATCAACTATTCGTCAATATCTGGGAAACCGCGACTTTTCCGGCCGACTGGATGCAGGCATCTTGGTAAAAGTCCCCAAGAAGGACAACTGGCGAGGCATCATGTTACTGTGTATTGTTCTCAAAGTTCTGTGTAAAGTTACCCTCAATTGGATACAGGAGAAGATCAACGCGACTCTCCGACGACAGCGGGCAGGATTCCGTGCTGGACCATATTGTTACGCTCCACATCATCTTGGAGCAGGTCAATGAGTTCCAAAAGTCCCTGTACTTGGTATTCATTGACTACGAAAAAGCTTTCGACCGACTAAACCACGAAAACTTGTGGGCCGCTCTGAGACGCAAAGGAGTCCCTGATAAGATCGTCAACCTCATCGAAGCGCAGTACGAGGCTTTCTCATGCAGAGTGTTGCACAACGGAGCTTTGTCTGACCCGATTCGGGTAATCGCGGGTGTGAGGCAAGGATGTATATTATCACCGCTACTGTTCATCATCGTAATCGACGAGATCATGGTTGGTGCCGTTGACCGTGTACCGAACCGTGGGTTGCTGTGGCAGCCTATTACCATGGAGTATCTCAACGACTTCGATTTGGCTGATGATGTTGCGTTATTAGCACAACGGCGCTCTGACATGCAGAGTAAGCTCGACGACCTCGTGGAACGCTCCTCTGAAGCAGGTCTAACCATCAACGACAACGAGACCAAATCGTTGGATGTCAACACGGAAAACCGTTCCAATTTCACGGTAGCTGGGCAGGCAGTGGAGAAAGTCGAAATCTTCCAATATCTTGGCAGCCAGATAGCGTCGGACGGCGGCACCAAGAGCGACATAAGTGAACGGATTAAGAAGGCAAGGGCTACTTTTGCCAGTTTGCGAAATGTTTGGAGAGCGAATCAGATCAGTCGACGCACCAAAATCCGAATTTTTAACTCGAACGTGAAGTCTGTGCTGTTATACGCCAGTGAAACATGGTGTGTATCTGCGGAGAAAACTCAGAAGCTGCAGGTGTTTATCAACCGATGCCTGCGGTACATAATTCGTGCCTGGTGGCCCCACAATTGGATCTCAAATTCCGAGCTTCATCGT